TTTGAATGCAAGTCAACAAACGAGATGACATGGCCTTTCACCTGTGACCTGTCTCGAAAGGGTTAAGAAGGCTCTTGGCTACAGACTGTTTTAGAGAGGTTTTTAAGTCACTCTTTGTAGCAATATATCAAGTACAAACATATCCCACTACTAGTTTTACCTGCATAAGGACCAAATTATCTTTCAATAAAATTTTTAATGCAAACAACATTTGGCTTTGGTATATGGATTTAATTGGATATACCTTCCATGAAATTTGTTTCACTATCTCCTAAATATAAGCTTCAAAACAGTTCCTGCATCTGCTTATTAATGGTTTAATTTTTTCAAAGCCAAATGCAGACTACAGCCAACCAACAGAACCCAACAATGAGCCATTGAAAGATATACTGTTCAACAGGAAATAATTTAATCTGAAGAACATGAAACTACTTTTGTTAAAATCATGCAGTTTTGTATTATTCTCTCACTAATCATTTTATTTTAAATTCCAGCATAATAAACTTCACGTTAGTACAAAAATTGCTTTGTCTAACCTTTGTCATAATAACCTACAGCTGGCAGTATAACACCTGACCATGTCAAAAAAAGCTTAAACAGAAGTGATAAGAAAATAACCAAACACTAAGAATCATCAAATCACATTTCAGAGAATAAACAAAACATTTTATTGGTGGGTCCAATGAATAAACACTGATTAAAATGAATATCTAGTTTGAAAAAGAAAAGAAAACAAGATAGAATGACCATAATTACACACAAAAGACAAGATACAATTAGGTAATCCTTCATGTTTCTTGGGTCTCCATGCCCTCTTCAGCAGAAGCTTCTTGTTCCATCTCTTCTCCAGTTTCTTCACCTTCTTTCTTTTCAGGAGGTTTTTCATAAGCTTTACTCAGAGGTGAAACAACAACACCATCCCATACACTCATCTCCATGGCAACACCTGTACAATTTTAAAAATTAACAAATAAAAGCTGTTTTCCAACGCAGAATCAAGGTGTAAATGTTAATTAAAAATTAAAAACCTCCAAAAGTTGCTGCTTGAAGTTTGGATATAGTTTAATTGATTTTTAAAGATTCTATGTCAAATAAAAAAGTTTGCACTGTAACATTACAAACTGAGCAAGAAACCTACTTGTCAATATCAGTAAAATACTAAAAAAAAATGCATTTAGTAGTATATAAAACATTTCTGGCAAACTGTAGTTTTATAGATGGCTTCCAAGATAATTTTCTGAAATAAACAAGTCAATGAAACGTTGTATATTTTGTGTATAAATTGAGGTATGGTAATTTATTGTACCTTCTCTAACACAGTGGAAGTGTGTTATAGCTCTGGTTTTATAATCTTACAGAAAAATATAATATAGCTTTTTGAAATAAGACAAAGTGCAAATGTATAGTTCATTTAGTTGTTGATTTTTCAATTGTGTACCTACACATCCAGAGTAATGTTGAGAGTATATCGAGTCACATTTTAAAATCATTATTCATCTACTAGTCATACAATTATTTATGGCATCTAACATTCTGACAAATTCTTTGTATTTTGCATCTATTGCAGTATATGTATTAGAATTGTACAAGTATACTTATAAGTATGACCAAAGAGACACTTGAAGTGCTTAAGAGCTTAAATTTATAGCCACTGGTCTACTCACTGAGACACAATTTTCATGCCTCTGATGTACTCTTATGTTTATAAAGCAGAATATCCATGATTATACCATTATCATCAGCCAACTTACAGCATCAAATCAAACTAACAATACATACTAGGATTTCCTTCCTGTCCAAGGATCTGTTTATATCCACCATGAGCCATCACTCGAAGCAAAGTCTGAGCAGTGAGGCACACAAGATCCTGGAAAAAGATAATGAATAATACTACAACTCAAATTTTATTAATGTAACTTTTAGTATTTACTCAAATCTTATTAATTTAACTTTTAGTATTTTACTCAAATCTTATTAATTTAACTTTTAATATTTTACACAATTATTAATTAATGTTTCCCTGTATCTTATTTTATCTTTCAATTTAACACACTGGAATTATCTTTTAGCTAAATAGTCATGAAAAATATATATTCAGCTTTAATTTCTGAATTACTCGTATAATTAAGCTTTCCTTCCTCCTTAGCTCTGACAAGATTGACCTTATTGCTCATCTATATGATGTAGCAAGAAAACTAACTGTATAATCTATTATCTATCTATGTTGCATTTACTAAAATGCTATTTAAATAACTTAAAAAGAAAATGCAAAAAATATAAAGCATTTACATGGCTTCGACTGAATATTAGTTCACCTATACTAGTTTAAATTTGTTAAACTTTTAACTATCAATGTATCAATTAACTAAAGAGCTATTTAGAGGGTTACAGTAATTCTTATGTATATACACTATGATATTTACATGTCTAGAATAAAATGAATAATGACTTTTGTACTAAGTTTTTCATTAAAGATTTACTACCTTGGGTTTATGATTAAACAAACAGGATATTAAATGAAATTTCACATACATATTTAATGTCTGCACACACATAAAACCTAGTTAAACAAACCTGTTCTTCCAGTGTTAAGGAAGTATGAACTCTCACACTCCCATTCTCACAGGGATCTGGGATACTTGCTGAACCAGGCAAAAATAGGCCTGCTGCAAGAAGTTGAAAACAACGCCTGCAAGAATAATATTTGTTCAGAGTACATTTCATAGATAATTATGTAGAAATATCTGTATGCACATCATTACACTAAAATAATTTAAAAAATACTATTGGTATCTGTGGATTATATTATAGTAGTTACTAGTTTTTTTATTGTTTGGTTTTCATCAGATAAATACTCAACATCAAAATATATTTATTATTTACAATATTCTCATTTCACATATAAATAAACAACTTTTGATTGTCACCTTAGGTTAGAAAAAAATTTGCTACACAAGTGCCATCTTTTTTCTTCTTAATATGATCAAACTAAAAACATTATGTTACTTTTACTATAAACACATTAATTAATTAACAAGATGTTTTGTAAGACACTTCTGCTTAATTTACAGGTTTGTTTAATAACAGAAGATAAGAATCTTGATACAAAATATTTCATATACAAAAAAAAAGAGGGAAAAAGAGCATTATAGTAGATGGTATTTGCAGAAACTTCCACTATTAGGATAACATCATCTTACTCTTAAGTATTTATAATGTAACCATAGCACAGTAACCTCTTTATAAAGGTTTTTCCTCAAACGTATGGGAAACTGTAATAATATTAGAAACATGAAAAAAAAAAAAAATTATAAGAAGTTGGTTTAGTACTTGTATCAATTCTCTTCTTCCAAAACCAATAAAATTTCATTGTAAAACATTTTCATAAAAAAACAACTTAAGACTTCCACTTTTCAGGATACTAGCCTAAAACTTGAAAAAAAAAAGTTGTATTTTTGTTTCTTATTAACACTACCATTTCTTTCTTATAATGCCATACAAAATTTATGGAAATTTACATGTGATTATTGGACAATACTGTAAAAAAGTATGAAAGAAACCTGTATTTTTTATCATTATTAATATTGAGCAGAAAGTTTCATTTTATATATTCAATCAATTTTAACTTATTTTATATCAATTAACATATCTTTTTTTCCCATTTCATATTTAATGAAATGCCTGATAAAAATACATAAGTTCTGCATAATCAACAATGATTTACAACTAAGATCACCGTGCAACTCTTTAGGTTTATGCATCCACTAACCATTAAATATTCTTACCTGAATTTATGCTGCAGAAAAATATTTCTGTAGCTTTCAAGTAGATGTAATATAACATAAATGTTACAAGTAACTATAAAAAGAATTTGCAGGTTTCTAGTTAGAAACCATTTCTAAAAACCAATGTGTTCAACATTAAAGCATGGCATTACTAGATTACTACTTCAAAACTTGTAAATGTAAACAAAATGCTATAAAGAATGAATAGAAAGCTGTTTACATTGTTTGACTTTTTTTATATATTTGCAAAATTAATTATATGGCTATTGTATAACGTGTTCATATCATTTGGACATAATTTTCCATAACAAAATTACTTAAGTCGATTAGGATTAGTTTGTAATTAAGTTTTTAATACAGATACGCAGTTATGTATCTGGAGTGACCTTACCCAACACTAGTAGTGAGAGTTAACGAGCATAATGTGATGTCAAAGATTCCAGAAATTGCTAAGAACCCATAAGAATAAAATGTAAGATTTGAATTTAATTTTATTTTTAATGAAATGTAAATGTCATGCTATAAGCCTAAAGTTATAAGAGTCTACTGTTCTATACTACATTAACTACAACTAATATACCAAAACTAAAATTGGCAATCAAATGGTAGTAGACATAAGAATCTTTATTACCTCAGGGCCACATTCAAGGGCAGTGGCTGACGACTTGGATTATTCATCACAGCATACTGAGCCTGAACAGTTGTAAAATAAAAAGTATACTGAAATGAGGCCAAACACATTTCAAAGTTCTCTTTCTGATAAAAAACTAAAAAAAAAAACTACAAATACGTTAAACTTGTTCTCTTGTTTGCCTTCACCTATTACAGTTTAAAGTCAAGATTTAATTTCTTATTTAAAATATTGTATACAAAGTAGTATGAGTATAGTAATATTGTACAGTACTGAAAGTAAAGCAATTAAATCCTAGATACGTAAAAACCCAACACAGAACCTATTATCCTAATTTTAGTCTTTGATTGGGACATATAAATTGAGTATTACCAATTAATTCTTGAATGTAAATATGCATTGGTTTGATGAACCTGTTGTAAGGTTTGTTTTATTGCACTGAAAAAAATTTAATAAATGTGACACATAAATTCAAATTTTTTTAAATTTAATAATTGTATGACTAATTATGTAAAATGAGGATGACGAAGTAAAAAAAATAAGAAATACTCACAATACTTAGTTTTTACTACTTTAAACTATAAGTACTGTGTTTAAACACTGAAAAATGTACATGTATATACAAGACTTGCATTCTTATAATTAATTCTCCAACCTCCCCTCGAGGCAGATCTGGCCAGCTTTGAAAGTCATTTGAACTTATTTTCATGACCTTACCTAGCACACATTGAAGTGGGCTTTTACTTTTTTTAGTAAGTAAAGTAAGACATACTGTATAGTTAGTCTTTTAAGTTAGATCTCTCCTTAGCTTAGATTTTTTACACGTAGCAAATGAAATCAATGAAATAATGTGGCAAGTAGCAGTAATTAAGATAAATTATAGTGAAGTTTGTTGTTTTTAACTGCATGAGGCTTATTAAAATTATATGGAAAAAGACAATAGGTCACACTCAGTAGTTCACAAATGTGTATATGCAATCGTTTATATTCTCAAATACAATTTCTAACTGCCTGGGACTTATAAATGAGATTATTTATATGCAAACATGTTCTGTATCATTCATTCTTGATGTACACAAACAGAAGTATGCATACCCACATGTTCATGTTCACCATTCATTTGTTGATTCTTAATATGTTGTTGTACAAAACTTCACGGTATAATGGGAACTTAATTAAAGTCGGTACGTTACTCTCAACAATATGTATTTGTGTTCATAATGAATAAATGTTTGTACACTTAAGGTAACTTGCAATATTTTAAAAAATACGTTAATATTCCATTTATACTTTTTTGATGTATTATTATTTAGCTTTTCTCTGAAAAGAATCAAAAACTTCTTAAATGCTTTCTGATTGCAATAGTTTTGTAATGAAATCTGTATGTGTCTTAGATTAAGTTGTCCTTATGAGCCAATTTATCTTCCTCTGGAAGAGTACCACACTTGCTAATAATCTGCTGTGAAAGTGCAACAGAAAAATTAATATCTTACAAGCAAATCAATAATCCATGGATTAAGAGAGCTGAAACCTTCAAAGCGATTTCTAATATCTCGTAACACTCGGATGAGAACTTTGATGCTTGAATGGTGAGCATTTTCTTCAAACCAACGAGAATGACGAATTGCAGCCAGGTGACTCTGAAGGATCTTCTGACTCACTGGAAGAAGAAGAAATTCAAACAGATAAGAGCTTACAATTATGTTGAAAATTTAAAATGATTATGTGATGAAAGACAGTTTATTGTAGTTATATTACATATATGTATGTCATTGAATACTATCAAAATTTATTTAAGATGAACTTTGAATTCCTTAATAATCATTCCATAAGAGTTTTTATATTCTTGGTAAAAATGTAATTTCATGCAGCTTTACAAGATTAATATCTCATTAAAATAAATGTGCGAGTCTTGGTAAAATAATTTTCATTACCAAATAAAATAATTCAAATGCATGGTTTAAAAAATTGTTATAAAATAAAAATCAAAGAAACAAAATAAAATTCTTACAATGAATTTCTGGGTCACATTTTCTAACATTCTGTGGAATGGTTGTAATCAAGATTTTCACAGTTGCATCAGCTGAACTGACCTCAAAGCCTCCTTCATTTGTTAACATGGTTAAAACTGGAAGTTGTACCACAAAAAAAATATGATGAATATTGAAACAAAACTTCTTATCAGTTCATTTTTAACCTATCAAATGTCATTTTATATTATGTTATTTTCTGTACAGAGAATAGTCTATTTTATTTCTCCTTTAAACTTTATTCCCACAGGAAACACACTGATGAGCTTAGCTGAATTTTATGGCTCTTATCGAATAGTTAGAAAACCAGAAAAATTATGATAGGTATAAGACATTGTCTGCTTTTTAAATGTTAGTATATTTAGTTAAGTACTTTAATTAAAGATTTGCTCATGAATCTTTGCTTTCAGCATGTTAACTATCCTACATGCAAAGTGATTTTGATTTTAAGATTGAAAATACTTTTTTCATCTTAAAAACTTCCAACGTTCATTTGTGTGATCTTTAAAACCTTTTAAATGAATATCAAACTTTCTTTATACTTTATCTGTTTTTTTCAATACCCATATATGGACAAATGGGCAAAATGTGAAACAAAATAATAATAATAATTATCGAGGTATACTCGCAAACAGCTCGTGCATTATGCAAGTTGATGCAGTAACATGAGTTACATGCTTGCAGAATCATTAGTCAAGACATGTTTCAAAAAACAATAAAATTAAGTATAGATAGATGTATACTGTTACAAGCTTTAAGCTATTTAGGATAAATAACTGTGGTTTCCTGTTACAATTTGCAGATATTCTAGAAAAAAAGATTAAATAAGAATTATTTCCTAATTTTTTTATGGTGGTTAAGAGGTTGATCAAATCAATCGATCCTGCATAGTTATTGTAGAAAATAACTGATGAAATATAGTTTTTCTGACAAAAAAAAAAACGTTTGATTTTTTATTTAGGAGGTTTTAGGGATTATGCAAATGAAATCTGAAAATGTTCAGATAAAGAAAACTATTTTTACTTTTAACACAAAAATCACTTTGGATTCAGAGCAGTCAACACTGACACCATATGATTACAGACTTTAATAAAAATACTTAATTAAATATTTTGATTTTTTTGTCTATAAAAGACTTAACGTTTACTGAAAGTTTGTCAAATTTCACACAGATACATGAAGTACTTTCAAAGTCACAGTACGTATACCACAGTGGTTATAAGGTTGTTACAAGGTTGTGTAAAATGCACGGTCCAGTTGTGACAGGGTTGAAATTTTGGCTTTCCATTGGTATAAATAATATAGTATTAAACACTAGAGAAATCTATTGGCAATTTATGAAAAAGAGAATGTGACAGGTGGGCGTGGCAAGTGGGCCTGATTTTATAGTCCATGACTCTTGTAAACAAATAAGATTTGCCTGAGTAATATCTATGTTATAATAAGTAATTTACATTAAATTCCGTACATCTTGGAGGGGTAGTAAATATAGAGAAGAAGGAAGATCCAGACAGCAAGTGTCACAATTTTCATACCAGTGAAGCAATTGGATATTTTTGAGGGAATTTTACAACTGCTTCAGTATTTTAGCATTTTAAAAGAATTTAAGAAAGAAGTTGTAACAATTTTCTGAGTTTTTAAGTGGACATACACATGAAGAAATGGCATAAGTAAGTGGTATTGAGAATCACAACTTAAGAGTTAAAATGCTTTATTGAAAATAAAGTAATTTAATTAAATTTTGAATGTAACTCTGTAAAAGGTTGTGGCATACACACTTTGACCTACCTGATGCAAAAGGATTAACACAAAAAATAAAATAACTAATTAAAACATTAACTCTAGAACATTTAGTTAAGTGGATCAAACCACTATATGCTATTCTAGTTAAGGTGTGTAACATATTAAAATTCTTGTTTACAACATAAACTACTTGCATCTTATAACATACAATAGAATTTGTTCATTATTATAAGATTTTGTAAGTAAAGCTCATAAACTTACATTATTCATAATCAAGGTTTCTCATTGAAAAACTAAATACTAAATTCATTCAATTCTGTGGAAAATTCAACAACATCCTTGCTAAAGATTATAGATATAAAGTTTTACGAAACATCACAACCCCTTACAAACTTTCAATTCTACACTTTGATTCCTTGGGATGTGGTTCGGGATATTAGTAAAGAGATTAAGCGTATTGACCATCACTGGTTTCACTTCCTGTTAATTTAAATTCATATTATGAGTATTTGATACTAGCTTTATAAAAACTAAGTGTATAATATTGCATTATGTTATTGTTTAAGTTCCACAAGTCTTTGCTTATTACTTTCATTGCCACATTTCAGATTGTTGCAACTTTCTTTCTATGTCTTATTATTACTATTGAGCTTGCTCAAGGCTTAGCAAATTTACATTTTGCCTTTTACAGAAGACTTAACTTTATTCACAAGCTAAGCATTAATTAAAAAAATCAAGAAATTAATAGTTGAGAATTTGTGTACTAAAAATATTAAATGAAATAATGTGAGCAGTAAGTGTGAGAAGTTTATAAAGAATTCAACTTTTTCCATAATGTAGGACAATGTACTAGAGTTATTAAGTGCGTAGTTACTAGGCCAAATGAATGACTTGACTGGAAATGGTGACAGGCTATCTCTACAAGTATGGATGGCTGTTGAAATAGATATTGACACCACGGAGGGGCGAATGCTAGTGTTATTATGTTACGTAGGTAAAATATACTTGGTTCTTTCTTTGTACTTATTTGTAATAAAGGTATTGGTTGGAATGTTGAATATATCTAGTTTTATTACTTTTTAGTTTTACATCGTTAACTTATTGTATGCATTTAGGGACTAACTTAAATCTACAGTGGCCAGACCATGTGAGATATTACTGTGTTTATGGCCAAAAATATCATTAACAGTAACAGTGCTCAACTGATGGAACAACGTATGGTAATCTTTATAAGCAGATTCATAAGAAAAGTACATTTAATAAGCTATACTGTTGGCCAGGTTAATTTCTAGTTTAGCTCCAAGTATACAGCTAACTCTGATTGGAAGTTATTACTATTATCATATATTATAAAAAATGGAAATGTAATTACATGGAATAAATATATAATATTTTGTGGTATTAGCCTATGTGATAATATTTTACTTTTTTCTTTTAAATTTGAACTATTGTAATAACATTAATCATCAAAAGCAGCAAAATAGATATGTTTCTGTTCATATATTGATTATGTGACATTGAAATAGGATATAAATGAAGCCTTTAGCATATTTGGATTTAACTATTTTTCCTAAAATAAGACATAAGTGACTTATTTTATATAATGAAAAAGTAATTTTTCTTGCAGCATATCTTACAAGTACTAACATTAATTGAAGACAGTTTCAATAATAATGCCCCCTGGATACCAGACCAGGAATGCAAAGCCAAATTCGAGTTCAGTAACTCTGCAAACCTACTCCTAGACCCCCATCATGACTGGATAACCTCATGGACACATTTATTCCCCTTTTGGTACCCTGTACCCCAAGTAAGTAAGGGAAGGAACTACATGCCACCCTGAGCCTTCTACCTGCCAAGTTTGATCCTTCTAGTTCCAAACATGTGGGAAAAGTTCTTGGAACCAGAAACACAACTTGAATTAATATAGGATGTATACACTGAAGTTAAAAGCTATTATATATATAATGTGATATTCTCAATGCAAAAATACCAATGTTTGCCACAAAATACTAATAAAAAATTAACATCAACATTAGATATTTCAGTTTTCTTTTTATTACAAAACAAGCATTTCATCAAAAGTAATCACAATTTTTATAAATATGATTAAAAAATTATACCTTTACAAGAGATTTATGTTTTAACCCTTTCCTTGTTTTCTTGTATTGTTGATATTTCATAAATCTTTTTCTCAATAAAATTAGAGTAATGGGTAATAAAACTAAAAAGAATAGATAAAACAAATTTACTGTATTTATCCTAGGTTTACATTTTATCTTGAGTAAAAGTAACTTAACCTATCATCATTCACATGTTATGCTCATATGAAGCTCTCTTCTAATCTCAAACGTTGAATCTAAACAACCAGCTCCTATTGCCATGTTGATGAGCATCAGCTGCATATCAAATAAATGTAGCCATGTATCACATATGATACTCAGGAAAAGACAGGGTTAAAAGTTAGTATAAACACCTAAAACTTGGCATCACTTTACCACATGGCCAGTAGCACCAATCTTTTGGCGAGTCCTTCATTTGATTTTCCCAAAGATTTTGATTAGTCATATGAATTGTGCATCCTTAAGTAGAACTGTCAATGCTTATATGGTTCATCATCATTTCTTATTCTGCAATGGCTTTGATCACTACACGACATCTGGACATTCAATGAATTGACATGGTCTCACTGGTTGATGAGATATTCTGTAAGAATTTCCATGCTCCTGAATTGGCCAATGTTGTATGACTGAAATGTACCCTTAGGTGATGAATTAAATATCAAGTAAACAGCATATGTTTTTTTCAAGTTTCTCTTACGTTGTCCATTTCAGTTTCAAAACCAGAGATGTATAAAAATAGCATATGAATCCAAAATGGACAAAATCAGAGTAAAATAGAAAAAAAGGTGTAGTTTAGATGATTGTTATCACAGATTTTAGGCCTACTGTTTTCTCATGCTTTGCCAGCTTTCAGCATTTAAAATGTAACATTTCAAGCATTATACCATATATTTAAATAGTTTCAGAGTCTTTTGTCTCTTATTACCCAGCTCAACTGATGAGTTTGGTGCCTCTTGGAAAATGATTTGTGAGAGACAAAATAGATCTAAAATGCAATTTTCACATGTCTTTGATTTTTAATCAACAATGGATGAACTAAGAAGAATAAGAAATTGCAGTTAACATGATTTTGTTCAAAATGTTAGGCCTATAGGTTTGTGTTTTATGTTATCCGAGTCAATTTTTAGCTGCAATACTGATCACTTGCCTTTTACCACAGCTAAAGGTATGATATAGCATGAGAAAAGAAACCCTTAAAGAACTTTATTTTTTAAAACATTTATCAGGTATTTCACATCCACAAACACAGCTTGAATGGAAAAGTTATTTCAAGACACCTTTAAAAGGTGGTAAAAACTGATGAAACTTACTTGAGACACCATATGATTATTGATATACCACACTCACATAATTAACCAAACATAGCATGCCTTGCAAACACAAGTGGGTTTTATTGACATAGATCAGATATTCACCACTGTTGTGCTTTGTTTGAATGTTGAGGTATCAATAGCAGCACCCATAAACAAATATTGCCAGCAATATTCATTCCTCACACAAGTGATATAAAATTAGCTGTCCAAGCATAGTCATGACCAATGTTCCCTCTAATTTTTTCATGTGCACCAGTATCAAGCCAATGTGTGGATGTGCACTACCAGTTTCTTTTAGGGGTGGAGTATTTTTAGACAATCAACCCTAGTGGATCATCAGGCCACCTTGCAATGTTATTAGTTAGTTATTTGGGCTTTAAGCCTATCAACTGCCAGGGCTATTAAGGCTGTAAATGTGTTGAGACTACTCATCTTAATGAGGAAGTGTGCAGCACTTAATTGATTGTTGTGTGACTACACAGCTTAGAGAGAACACTGGTCATGACTTTGTCTTGAGCTATTGGGAACCCATTAAGAGTGAACCAAGTTTGGGCCTTTGCACCCTCAGTAACATGTGTATCACTGACATCAACTCACCAAGCTTCCAAAAATATTATATAATGGCTTCAGTTTCAAATCAAAACTTACTACCTAGGAAAAAGTCCTACAACTATAAAATCAAGTACCATATTTAATATCTTCCTCTTAAACAAAAACAATATTAAATAAAACTTACTTTCAAGGGGATCACTCTGCTTCATGTCTTCCATAACTTTATTTCCAAGAGCTTGGATTGCTTCAACTTAAAAGCAAGTTAATCAAAATTCAAAACACCCATCTTTATCAAAAATAAAACAAAATTCATGACCTACAGCTTAAAAATAGAATGATTAAATTTACCATCAATAAACTTTTAAAAAATTACATAATCATAGTTTTCTTCAAATTAAACTTCACTGTTATAGTATATTAGTACTTAATCTACCACAAAGCTTTTTTTTTTTCAACAGTGTTTTAATTCCCCTCTCAAGAATTTGTTTCTGAAAGATAAGTTTCACAGTTAGCTTTAATACTTTCCAATGCAGTAACAAAAATTTGCTTTCACTACTACAACCTATATTATACAGCAACTTTTGTTTGTTTGTTTCTCCATGTTGAAAATTTCCAACTTTCCAACACCTGATTAAAATAAAACTTTCAGGGATTCTTGGATATGCTCCACTAGGATTTTAAAAACCCCCTTACTTTATTCACTTTCTGATTTTTACTATTTGAATGGCCATTCTAATTTTCCACCTTGATACTGCTTAACTGCTGGCAACTGACACACACACATTGTTCCACCATCCATATGCAGTTAACAAAAAATAAATGCCTTGCCAGGATTGGGTATCATTGCAAATAACAATAAAATGTTTGAAAAATGAAGTATTAACAAATTGTAAATGTAAATAATCTTACAAACAATAATTATGAAAAAAAAAAGACTTAAACTTATACATCAATTTGAAGTTCCAGAAAAAAAAGAAAATACAAACTGGAATAATACAATCCACTTAAAAAAAATTCACAAATAAAAAAAACAATACTACAAATTTTAATTTTT